ATTCAGTATAGTATAGATTTCTTTTTTTTATAATGCTTAGGAGATCTTTAGTTCTCGTTCTGTTCTCGTGATTTGTTCGAATATTGCATTTGAACTCTCTTGATTCGTCTCCTCTTGTCTGGTTATATACCCTTCTGCAAACGAGTTACCAGTACCCAGACTCATCGCCACCTTTTCCCTTTTCTGTGTTAATCCCTTTTTCCGCTAAATTTGCATGAGGGACGTAAAGCGTCATGATTGTGTCTTTGATTATTCCTTTCTTTGAAATTTCGTTTCTTCGAAAATCGATTCATTTTCATCAAAACTCAAATCATCAAATTTGGCATTTTCATAGCATATGAAGTTCATATGAAGTTTCAAAAAAAAATATAATTTAGGGCAAGTGGTCGAAAAGTAGTCGGTCCCTAGGCCAGCATATGTTATTGTGCCAAACTTCATCAAAATATCTCAAATAATGCAAATAAACACAAGAAAACAATACGGACGGATGGACAAACAAGCTTAGATCGAATCAAAAAGTGACTTTAAATGGCATAAACACTTCATAGGCGAGTGTCTAGCAACATGTTATGTGAACGCAATCTCCTTATTGCACAAACCCAACTTATTTACATACAAAAGCAGAGCTTGCATGCACACATACTTCGCTACTGGCAGGCTACAGTTATAACATCATATCAACGAAGTTTATCGTAAAGGCATCTACTGAGAAACCTTCAAAGGTAACATACTCAATAATAATATGTTAACATATTCAAAAAAAACAATAACAAAATGAAGCGGCACAATGTCATTATGCAGTTAACAAACATAGAAAACTTTTGGTGATTCTAACAAACCAAGTCAAACGAAATGTGTAAACCTGTTTGGCTGATTTTAGCTTAAAGTTAGATTCCACACCTTAAACCGATACATGGTAAGGGAAAACATTTTGTTAAATGTGGTCGGACGATTTGTCCGATCAAAAGTTCTTGCGTAGCATTTAGTCAACATCGGCCACAGATGGTAATTTGCACTATTTTATCTAACGTGTGTGCTGGGAGTACATTGGCTATGATGGTTAACTAAGAATAAAAATGTCCACTCTTGACTTAGTTTTTATTCATATTTGTAGAGCAGAAGGACCAAGGAAGGAAGGAGAGAGAGAGTATGATTAATCTTGACTAAGTCGACTCCAAATTTTAGATTAATTAAAATAAAAGTCCATTCTCTTGTGTGGTCCCTATGCATACGTCTTCGGGTTACAGTTGACAGGACGAATTTTCATATATCCCTGAGATTGCTTCTCGAAGAAAGACGCAATGTCTTGGCTTATGGATGAGCAGAAAGAAGTCGATAGCCAGGCTCACAATTTAGACAGTTTTTCGTATACGTCGTCGTGCTTGTTAATGCCGTTGACTTTCATATTTTAATTAAACATTTGCCTTTGATTAGAGCATTACTAGATAGAGATAGCCAAACATTCAAAAGCCAACCCAATCTCTTCGCCTATATAACCTATACTGATATGCTGCTGCATAACAAACAGTGAAAACAGTTCAGTACATCAACGAAAGGGATTCTATTCGACTTGCAAAACCTTGAGACTTGGAAAAATTTTAATACC